TATATATGATGAAAACAAATGGTCCCGTGTTAGGATGATTCTCCCTGATTTCCAGTGATCCTTCCATGATTCTTCCAGATTTTAAGCTCTGCTGTTGTCGGGATCCTGCCGCTTAAGTGAATAGTTATCTGTATAAGAACTAATTTATCTGCCATCGTTAGCTAAATTAATCTGGCGTCGAAACTATTGCAACGGTTTCAAGAAAGGAGACCATTGTGAACTGAATGCGTGTTGCTGGGCGATAAGGTTATGAGCCTCTGATAGTTCAGCCTTCGAACGCGCTCATCGACACGGGTTGGGCGCGTGGGACCCGGCTCGTGGGACCGCCGCGCCGCGCCGCCGATAGCTCGCGAGGCTCTGCTATTCAGTTCGTTTTAGAATGTCTCAGAGTGTGGCTGGATTTTCAGTAATTAAACACAAGTTTTCGAACGTTTCTTCGGAGTAGCGAAAAGCGCATTGTTCTGAACGTTTTCAATTCTTTATTGCATGGGAATCCGTCGTTACCGGTGAAGCAAATCGCAGAGTTCGCTGGAATATCCGTGTACAGCGTATCGAAACTTCGGAAAGAGCTCGCTGACAACGGACAATAACAAACGCCAGAGAACAAAAGAAAGGGGAAGAAACTGTGATTCAAGCATACGATGACTTTGTATTCAGTGCTGTTCGATCGAAAGGGCATTCTTTGCATCAAAGGGGCAAAAGTGCATAAACGAAACACCAACGTTTGCGAAATTGTTGCAACTTATGAATTGTGATTAATTTTAGGACACCAGTTTATAGAAATTATTGACAACATCCGGTTATTGACAACCACTTCCTGAAGTAGACTGATCGTAAGTAAAGTAGTTGCATGAGCATGACATTAGCATGACATTTGTAGGTCTTATTCAATTTTAATTGGCTGTGTTTGCTGCTCGCGTTATCGAAAGTAATGCGCTAGGAGTTTTCCAATCAGAAGCGTACTCGGCACAAAGATTTCTTCAGTTTGTTTACATCAAGTTTTTTCTTAGGGTGTACGTGTAATAGGTAATCCTGTCTGTTTGGAAGTCGCACTACCCGACGGTTGACTGGAAGAAGGAGACTGGCTGGCCGGCGGAGCGTCTCTCTTCTTTGACTTGTTGCTCTTCCTTTTTAATTCATTCTATGTGACGCCAAACAATCCCATCCATCTCACTGACTTTTCTGAACTATTAATATGTGCGTTTTTATGTTTTTCCTTACTTTGTCAAACGTTAATTAAATTCAGTAATTTCAGCAGTGAATAATGCAAATCACTTGCAATAATTAGTATGTACACTGTAAGTATAAATTTAAAAAAGTATACATGATAGCCTTACTTTCAGACATAAAAATATTTATTTATTAACAATTTAGTTTTAATAAGGGGAGGTCTGTGCACAATTTGTTACCTTAAGGGAATCATGGTATCAAAAAGTTTGAAACCACTGCCACTCTTGAAAACCTACTATTTATATAGTTCTCTCTGAAGCAGAGCGTAATATTATCCCCGCACGTTTTCGTGAGCCCTCATTTCACTAGATGCGAGGGGAGCGGGGGGGTTAATTATTTTATTGACAGGACAATTAAATGAAATTTGTAGCTTGTTTTTTGATGCAGACTAATATTCTTGGTTATCAGAGTTTAACAACAAAACTTGTGGCTATCATTTATTCTGAGTTCAACCAATGTTAGGTAAGGAGTGGGGGGAGATATGCCGGGGCTCAAGAAAACGTGCGCGTAAAATACGTCCACTCTAGTCTTGCAATCGAATAGTAACATGTTCGTGGTTGACAATAGGAATTCTCTCAGAACTTCCCCGACACATTTCACAGAACGGCATAGAGCAAACATGGTGTCTTTAAACTTTCTGTACGGGTGGTGCGAAAGGCACTGAATAAAATTACATTAATGTCATTTTGAGTAATCCTTTTAATATTTTTCTTCAAAATTACACATAGGTCGTTTTTTTAAAAGATATCTCACGTTGTAAATATTTATATTATGTGCGGTTTTTTACATTCATTATGGTATTTGTGAGTAAACGTGCTTTAAATGATTTCCCTCGTAAGGAAATTCTGAACAGTTACTGAGATATAATACCGTATAAACTTGCAAAAATTAAAATAAAAACAACAACAACAAAAACAATACGTCGTTGGTTTCACATGAATAACTCTCATACGTGCAGTTGAACGGAAAATATATAAGAATTGTTGATAATTAAATTTCCAAGAATGCTCTTAGCAAATATTTCTAATTTCTTCCACTAATTTCCGAGAAATGTTGAAATAACAATTACCGTAAAATTGTGCAAGAAACTGGAAATATCACCCTGTATCAAAATGTTTTCCTACTAATTATCTGAACGTAATACTCTATTGAACAAATGATGTACTTGTCCATATACATGAGAATGTTTGCATAAATAAAACAATATTACAATTAATCTAATAGTTTATTTTGAACACTGTTTTGTGCGTTATATCTTTGGGAATTTTAATGAAATGTCATTTTTTTTCTTTAGAACAGTGCGGTTTGGTCTAGAAATTATGTTATGACAAAGGGAAATGACCCATTTTTGTCTTATTATTTGTGCATTTTTTGTCGATTTCGACTAATTAGTCATTTTTTTAACATTTTCCACTACTTTTCAATGATTTTTCGCTGATTTCATCGATTTTGATTTTTATGTTTCAAATTATATTTACAAGATGCAACTAATATTCTCCACATAATTCCTGAGAAGCATATTCAATTCCTTCTCTCAGAAATTGCAATGTCAGCCGAGGAATATAATCTAAGGTTCCTGTGACGCCTATCAGCGCCATTGTCGGCTGATGTCGGGATAACTAAAGAGTTTGCAAGCTGAGTTCACTTCAACGAAATGAAGAAGCCTCAATTACATCACTAACATATCCAACAGTTTTTGTTCATCTGAACTTTTTTTACCACATTTTTACGTCATTTTCTTTTATTTTAGAGCATTTTAAAAACATTTAAAGATAATTTTACTAATACTTTTTGGTGATGGTTCAGGTCATTACAACCCGCTCCCTACTTATAACAATGAATTCATGTAAACTAATTTATTAACAAATTTATTAACATGCGACAAAAACTGTACATAATAAATTAGTAAATACAGCCTCAGTCACTTTTTTTTGCGCACCTACGAAATGTGGGAGCCTTCATGATTCGCAGCGCTAGCTGGCCACGGCAGGCAGGCAAGCCGCCCAGCCTCTTCGGAGGCCAACAGAGGGCAGCGTCAAGTGCCCGGGACAGGGCGGCCCCCAGCCGGGGAGGGGGAGTGGCGGACAGAATGTCTGTCGTCGCCGCACCCTCAGCAGAGCAATAAACTCCGGGAGGTGTCCTCTATGCCAGAAGAGCGGCCGGAGACCTCGCTCTTGAGTCGGGGGGGGGGGGGGCAGGAAGAGCGGCCCTCCGGCCAAGGGTATTCGTTGCACGTGCGCGAGAAGGTACCCCTCCTCCCCTTCGGAAGAACCTTTTTTTTTATTATCAACTTCGAGGAACTGGGAAGCCCTTTCAGAGAATTTCTTTACACATTGTTCGGACGTAACTCAAGGGACGGTTTTCACATTGCACTACTGAATAATTGGGTTTGTGGTAAACGATTTCATTTATTGTTTAGAACTATTTTATTGATAAGTATCTAAAATTTTTACATGGCGATGTGTGAAGGGTATCCAGGGAAGAAATCATATAGATGATGGAATGTCTTGTCCTTTCCAAAGAACTGATAAGTATTTTTTTTTTTAATTATTACCTCCTGTTCGGCATTGCTGCCTTTCAGGGGTGTTAACATTTTACAAAATAATGCTTTGATATTCGTTCTCACGCTATTTCTCTTTAATATTACAGACTGTGTCCAGTGTATAATTTTGAAAAACTGATTTGATGTGAATTTATTTTTATAATTCATTGAATAAAATATTTATATGTTATTATGTTATATTAATAGCTGTTGGGGGATTAATGACGTTGAGTATTAATGGAGGTCTGAGTTTATCCTTGGGAAATCGTGAGCATATTCTATTTGGTTTTGGGTAGTTACGATAATTTCTGACGAACTTCAATAACGCGTACGTCAATAACACGCCCTGAAGCCGGTCTCGCTAGCCGAATTCGCTTACTATGCCCCGTGAAGTCACGGGCGTGAAAAGAATTCGAGACTTTGTAGATTTGTTTTTAATGGAAGCGTAGTATATTTTTTCCACTATCATTTTAAAGTACTCAAAGAGACTTATCAATGACTGTCAAAAAGACACATCAGTGATAGAAGTCATGTATTGAGGAAACCTTTCAATTTTTGTTCGTAAAATGATTCATTCACATCTTCAGATTTTACATTGAAATAAAATGATTTAACTACGAAACAAAAGCAAAAATTATATTATCATTCTATCTCTCTTCTTTATGCAGTAGAGCGCTAAAAAAGTTGTTTTTAGCGCTCTACTCCATAAAGAGTAACAGAAATTGCAACTTCGTGTTTCTTATGTAAGTAAGAATTCGCATTTGTATTGCTTTCATGCGTTGATCTCCTACTTACAGGTTCCTGTATTGTTCCTCTATTGGCTTGGAGCTAAGCAAACGCATACTTCGAGTAGCAAGATAATAAAACTTGTATTCTTATTCCACAATGGAACGTATTTATTGTTCAATCAATGAATTAAAACAATCGGAATGCGAATAAATTCACTATTTACTTTGAGCAAAGCAAAGGCATACTTTTGGTAGCAAGATAATAAAACTTGTATTCTTAATCCACAATGGAACGTATTTATTGTTCAATCAATGAATTAAAATAATCGGAATGCGAATAAATTCACTATTTACTTTGAGCAAAGCAAAGACATACTTTTGGTAGCAAGATAATAAAACTTGAATTCTTAATCCACAATGGAACGTATTTATTGTTCAATCAATGAATTAAAATAATCGGAATGCGAACAAATTCACGATTTACTTGGACTCACATTAGAGTAGTAACTTTGGTCATTCATTTATTGAATTCTTAGTCAGCCGCATTATTAAATCCATAGAATTTTTAGTTCTGATCTGACCTTGCCTGCTCTCAGGTTTCATCTCTCTGCGTCTGTGTATGACCTCCCTTCCGCGTGTTGACAGTGCACTCGGCACAGTGATTGCAAGGTGGAGACAGCACACATCGTGCAGGTGGCAATAATAATTATTTGCATGTATTTAACCTAAAATTATGTGTTATAAATTTATCATATCATTGTGGGTTTTGGTATGGAACAGAAAGAGTACAAAACCACTCTGTTCTAATTTTAATGATATTAATACAGAAGATGAATAGAAGTGCAGTACTTTCAGTAGAAAATGAAGGCTTCACTAGAGATGAATAACCACAGGAACCTACGACTGCGACAACGGAAACTATGAATGATTTAAAAGTCAAATTTACATTGTAATACACACGAGTGAGTCTTAGAAAATCCTTCTTATTATTCTAATCAATTGGCCAATAAATGCATTTAGAACCCAATTTACTGTGGTGGGGACACCTGGGCAAACATTTTGCGGGAGGCCTTTGGTGACCGAATATACAATTAAACTGTGTTCTTGTTACTATTGTTATTGTTATTACTATCATAATCAGAATAATTAATATTCTATTTATTATTATAATTATTATTGTAATTATTATTGATGTAGCGTCGTGCCACGCTCAAACCGCCGGATGTTAAACAAAGGGCGGAGTGATGACGCACTGGGACTTTCCGTGGACGTAGCGGGCCCAGAGCGACTTTGGGGAGGAGGCAATGGGGGCGGCGGGTGGAGCCAAAATGGCCTATATAAGGCCAGGAGAACAATGCCCCAGTCTTCTTGTTTTAGCGGCGTCGGCGACAGGTGAAGCGCGTGTCTGTGCGTGTAGGTGCACTAGGGCGAGGGGCCGGCATTTCATTGTCGTCACTTGCGAGACGCGTAGATGGTCTCAACGTAGAGCGGCTTAATACAGGAAACATCGATGGTATGTTGCGGTGTGGTAACCGTTCTTAAATTCTCTCTCCTTGTAGTGGGTCTACTTATTTGGTTTATTGTGAGCAAGGTAGTTGTTAAATTGAGATTACGGTCTAGATTGTCAATAAATCTACTGTTTTACAAACCACTCTCGTCTGTGTTCGAATTACACCCGTATGACGCCACAATTGATATTGTTATTGTTAATGTTTGGTAACCATATAATACATTTTTTCCCTAGGGCTTTTTTCAGCTTACAGCCGGTTACTCTTTACGTCCAAACGGGACGCATATTCGACCGTACACCAACACACTTGCGGGCGCCTCTCTTCTGGGGTCAGTAGAACGCCAGGCCCTCGGCGCCAACACATGCGTGAGAGACAAGTGACAGAATCGTGCTCAAGGCGGGACTCGAGCCCGCGACCCTTCGGACCGAAGCGCCGAGTCGGTACACGCTCTTAGCCACCTCGGCCATCCAGATCGGCCCCTTATAATAAATGCAAATAACAATTTCCTTCCTTTCATTGCCGCAAAATCGTCACTCGTATTGCTGCGTAAAATGGCAAGATCGTTCAAATATTTTTCAGTCAATGACGTTCTCAAACTGTTCTCAACAATTTTCAATTTTGAAAACGATCTTTCAGCATTGCAATTAGTTGTCATCAAAAAAAGATAAATATTCAAAATGATTTACACATTAGGGAATCCTGGACTTATTATTTTTATTTTACATAAAAAACAGTGACGAACTTTGGGAAGAACTGTATTCTGTGCACGTTTTCCTAATTCTGGGATCACTAACCTGAGCCATATACAAGGTGAATTCTGAATACAGAAAGAAATTGTCGTTTTTGGCAGGAGTTGTTACTATGGGTTTAGTTATTATCAGTCTACTTCTGACCATGGTGACGCGCATTTCACTTGTAAATGCCGCGAATTTACAGTAACAAAGAATACGCAGACATACTTTATGTTTATGGTTTTTGTGACGGCAGTGCGGAAAAAGCGGTTCATGAATATCAAAACGATTATCTGAACTAATTGTAGGGCATAAAAACGTATTTATTAACACCTTCGGAAGGTTGCGAGAAACTGGTTTATTATCTCTGTCCTCTAAACGCGTTCTTTCTCCGCCTTCGGAGCAAGCAAGAGACCTTCGTGTGATAGAAAGCCAAGAAAATTCATCAAGCAGTGTAAGAAGAGTATTTTCTCGATTGGGTGTTGTGAAGAGTGCAGTTTGGAAATGCCTTCATTATGAAGGTTTGTATCTTTACAAATTAGGAAACCGAAAAATTAAGAAAATGACAAAAAATGTGCTCTGGGCGGCGATAGATGACAGCAGGCAAGTATATGTAGCAAGTTCGAATAGCTAACCGTGACCAAGGAAATAGAAACCTATTACGGGAAAGTCTGTGCCATTCTGTAGCACCACCAGTTGTTGTTTTCAAGTTGCATGCATTAAAATTAAAATAAGTTTTTCGAAAACTCAAAAAAATTCTGTGAAAAAGAGCTTCTAATTTTGAATTTACAGTAGCGCTTAAACGCTAGGTTTTTAAAAACGCCTCCAAATTTTTTACAAAGACAATTGTCATTTAGGATGGGGTTTTACTGTTCTTTAATAATCTTAAATAATATATCCGTTCTACAATTAGGAAACCGAGAAATTAAGAAAATGTCAAAAAAATATACTTTGAGCGGCGATGGATGACAGCAGGCAAGTTCGAATAGCTAACCGAGACCAAAGGAGATAGAACACTAATACGGGAAAGACTGTGCCATTCTGTAACACCAAGTTCGATATATTTTTCTACTATTGACGAGAACTCCAAACATGTAAGTTCTTTCAACGAGAGCAGATCTCCATCGTTTACTCTAGCATTGTGGCCAACGATCGTTGAAAACAATACCCCGATTAGAACGAGTCTATTTTTTAAAATTCTGCTGTTTTTTGGAGTGTCCCCTATTGTGTGTTTATCCACGTTTTTTAGAGCATTTCCCATATCTATAATCTCTGAAAAGGCGTCTCGTTTCTAAGTTAGATTAGCATATTAGGTTAGCATATTTGTTAAACAAATCATATGCATTGAATGGAAGACCGTCTTTGGGTATTACAAACATCGTATTTTTATTTTTTATTTTTGTCCAATTCAGTGTAACTAGCACTCCGTTGCTCTTGGTTTCTATATCATCAATAGTCAATTACACAAATTCGTCTCGGCAACATGCCCGAAAAGTGTCAAAAATTACAATAAATTTTTAAGTAGTTATTTGTTTTCAATAAACATTTTCTAATGTGTTCTTAAAATATCTTTCTTCTTGTAACTGTCGCGTCTGAAGCAACAATTGTATCGTTTCGAAATGGAAGATGGCGTTGCATTTTTATATATTAAAAGTAAAGGTGTTTCTTGTTTAAATTGTTTTTTGTTGTATGATTGTATGACGAAAAGTATTGAACAATACACGGCCGATATCA